TAAATTAGTTTTTAAATTAAATTTTATTTTAAAAAAAAAAAAAAGTTGTCCATAAACTTTTGTCCATCCTCTGTATTTTATAATAAATGTTTTGAAACTTGTAATTCTTGATTAATATAAACTATTAAATCTAGAAATCAAGAAGCCAAATATGATATGATTTTAATATTTTTTAATAAATATCTTAATAAAATTTAATTGACTTAAGTTGCCAAATTTAATAACTGCATATATAAATAATATTGAACAAAACATAATTATATTATATGTTAGTGTCCATATTAAAGATCTCTTTAAAGTTTATTTATTTTCTAATAAAATGTTATGTTATGAAGGCTATTGTATCAAAAGGAATTATAAACTTTTATAAATATTTTTCTTTAATTAGATTTTAATTTTAAATTTTCAAAAATATCAGAGATTCCATTTTTATGCAGTCTAACTAATTTTGTTTAGGATTCAAATGTTTGGATATATCAGAACTGCTATCCATATGTTTTTATTAATCCTAAAAAATATTAAAATTTTGGACTTTGGCTACTGAATTCTTGTAGCAAAATACTATTTTATTTCAGAATGTTAATAAAAAATAAATTTAAAGTTTTTTAGCAATAAATTTAAATAATATATTTTCAAATAAAAATTCAAAAATAACCAATAATTTTTTATTTTTTATATACTGTATATTATGAAATAATAATAAAATTTACAGTGATATGATCTAATGAAATAATATCAATTATTTTATTGTTACAAGTATATTAATTTTTTCAACAATATATAATAATTGAAATATTTTTAATTTGCTTTAATTTTTTTTTTGCAATTTTTCTAAATATGTAAGATTCAATTAAAAACATAAATATCTAATAAGTTTAAGTATACACTGTACATTAATAATTTGAATTTTTGTGTATTACTAGAATCATTAATTTATGCAATAGAAAAAATAATTTTTTTTTTAATGTTTAATTATTAAAAAGCTATTTCGTTAAAGATGTTGCTAATCTTTTACACATCGTATTCTAAAAAAGAAAAATTTATTTATAAAAGTTCAAATATGTCATAATACTCTGTACATATACTGCATATCTGATAATTTTTTTTTAATTTTTATGTAAATTTAGTGATCATGTGATTTAAATTATTTTTAATTGTAATTACGGTACCTAAAATTTGATTATTTACCAATATCTGAACAAGAACATTTATGTATTTTTTTTTCAAAAGTTGTATAGACACTATATATTCAGAAATTATTAACGAGAGTTACAGGTTATTCGTCAATTATGGAAACTCCTTTTCATTAATTGAGGCAAAATGTCTATACGTATCTGAACGAACCATATTTCCTTTACTATTGTCCACTATAATTTCTCGAAATTAAGACAAATCATTGATTTTCGTGTATTGATTAATTTTACTTCAAACTAACGAAGAACGATTTTTGAGCTTGGAAATTGGTCAAACAACATAATGCATCACAAAGTCTCTCAGGAAGGGGTAAATCATCTCTTCGAAATAATAATTAACGAAAAGAAACCAGATTGTCTGTGTGAATAACATACTGTATGTACTGTTGCCAGTTAATTACGTTTTATTTGATTTTTGGCATACTGTACATACCATGATATTGACTAAGGCAATATATATTGTTAGATATTACAGTATATAGTAAATTAAAATCATTATACAGTATCAAATTGTAAGATTGTTTATTGGTCAGAATGTGGTTTTTTTTTTCTTTGGATCTCGAATTATTTTCGTTGATTACTTACGCGGTGATGCCGCAGTCAGATAAACAAATATTGTACGGTACTGTATACGGCGGGTTCTTTCAATACTTTCCCCAGTATGCATAGCCCAGAAATTATTCGACAGTGCTTGTATAAGAGTATGCAATGTATCTCACTGGCAGACATGCGTCGTGACTTTATAAAAAAATTACAGGGAAAATAGATGAGTCTCACAAAATCATTCTGAAAAAATCGAAAGAATTTCAATATTAATTCCCACCGGTAAATCGCATATTCTTCATACACCAACACGGACGAGCCATGGGGACAGTTTCCTATAAGTTTAACAAATGTGTATAATATAAATTGATTTGAATCAATTTATTCTCTGACGTATAGTTGATTTCAGCATACCTTTTTTTCCCCAGGTACTATCGAATCCCTCTGGGGGACCGCGGGCATCTTGACTAACACAATGGGGCTGCCAAGGATTACCGACTACGATCTGATATAGCATAGTAAAGGAATAAAAGATTTCAATTTTTTAATTAAAAAAAATAAAAAAAAACAAACAAAAGATATGCGACACCCACTTTTGACATAAACATTATTCTGCAAGTTCGGGAACTGTCGTTCGGACACACTTTTTGCTTTTTTTAAAAAATAAAAATTTATTTAATTTCAAACTCCAAGATCAAGCTCATTTGTAAGACAATGTGCTTACTCCTCCGTGCCCATAATAATGAGCTTTTGAAGAATATGGAGTAAAATAAAGACCCTGTCCGAGTCTCTGAAAGCTTCTTCCTTGGTTATTTTGACCAACCTGAAGCGGATAAATTTTTGGTTCTTTATATAAATGACGTTTCATAGAGAAAAACGAACATAGGTATATCTGTTTGTCATTTACTTTCCTTGGCCATGTCAAAACCATTCATCAAAATTCCGCATCCCCCACAATTTGTTCCTTTGCACAATAAACTTTGTTTATCAGTATCAAATATTATTGAGCACAGATGATCCGTTCCATGATAAAGTATCATTTCATTTCCTTCGTAAAGTCCCTTCGCCTTATATTTCCCGCGATCTTCAACCTGCGCACGATAATTTTTATAGTTTTGAACGATTTCGGGGTGCAGGTATATATTGTATATCGCCTCTATTCTTACACCTATACGTAATGAATATTAGTAAAAAAAGATAAACTTGTACTAAAAGATATTAAGTTAAATACCATTCGCATTCGGTTTCACCCAATCCTTCATGAATTTTTTTTCTACCTCTAGGAAAGATGGTGATCCCTTGGGGATCTCAACCAAATTCGTGTACTTTGTCGAATTTTGAATCCTTATAGTGCTCGGAAGAACCGAAGGGTTCGCTACGTTATGATATAAGTGCCGATGAGAATTTCTTTGTAAAAATACTTGAGAGAAGTTTTTCCCTCATACCTATCCATATGTTTAGATGGGTGGGGCATAATTCATGATCTTCGTCCTTCGCAGAATTTTTGCAACTATCAATTACACAAATCATGTCCTAAAACGAGCGGGCAAATGTTAACTGCGAAAAAAAGCTGCTTAACTCTTGGTACTTTATCTCTTAAAATAAGTTCCTGATATTATAATGATGTCATCTTTGACTCGATCAGATTATTAATCAAATGCCTTTTTTTTTTTTTTTAGCTAACAAATCAAACTCGGCGAAAGAATGTCAGATCATACCGCTCTCTAAGCTTTATACATAACACACATAAATAAATGTGTAATATAAATCTATATTAGTTAAAAAAAAAAAAAGAAAAGAAAAAATTTTTTTTTAATGTTAGAACGTTATTTTTTCAACAACACGCATCTAATTTACGTTAAAATTTTTCGCGGCTATAGCTCATTGATCACTTTCTTTTCGAAAAACACAAATGAGAAGACTGAAGAAGACATTATAGACATGAACATGCCTAACGTTACAACTTCGGAAAAACAATTGTGCGAAAAGTGCCAAAAAGAGATGTCAGGACTGAGAAGAACAAAAACAAAGAATGAGAGAAATCGGAAAAGAATTAAAAGAAAGAAACAGGAAAAAAAGAATTCTGAACGAGAAGTTATCCATAAACAAGAATTTATCCATCCAGAACTTCCTGTCGTTTATGGAAACATTTTCAGTGGAGGTGAATATAAGGCCCCTATCATAATTACCGCTCCTTTGAATTCATTGCGCGAGAGGTCGATTGGCTGGGGGTTAGCTTTCTGGAATGTTGATATTATTAATGATCATGTTAATAAAGTCGATGGTAAAAAACTTACAGAAAATGATAATGAAGGGGAAAAGGCGACACCTGAAGTCGTCTCGAATCTTATTGATATCGATAGTATTCCCGGTAGTTACCCTTCTGAATCAAATGAAGTAATTGATATTGATACCATTTATAATGAGCCGGCTCCAAAACACTGTCCTCCTCCAATTCAACCAGTGAAGATGGAATTACCATACCAGAATACACATTCGAAAGATGCCCCGCTTATCGATGATGATGATTCCAAAGAATTAGATCCTTTGAAGAACGATGACAAAAACAATTATTATGGTGAATATTCCAGTGCAACTTCTCAAATAGGAAAAACTTTAGGCAATACGAATCCCATTCCACTTACCGAGATGGGAAACACTACATCAGGTTGTTCCGGAGGTTCCGTGAGAGAAAATCAGGGAGGAAATTCTAATGGAAGAAACGGTGCCAGGGATCAAAATCCACATGAACCCGTAGGAGGATACACTAATGAACCTCAATCAATCTCCAGATTTGAAGCAATCATTCGTAATTTGCCAACAAACAGAGAAAAAATAAGATCGGTTGCACTTTTTTTCTCTTTCGGTCCGAGTATTGATTTTGTTCCAAGCCCTGAAGAGTTACATAAACTAGGATTTCATCCCATATTCTGTCGTGTTCCTACATACAGTCCAGATAATTGCAATCGAGCGAAAGATTTTATTACCGACGTGGCGTTGAACTGCTGGGCCAATGGGTGGAGAATTACCTTGTTTGTATCAAGTCATTCCGCTATCCATCCTCAACTGAATGCCGACTTTATTTGGGAATTACGCAAAGTCTTTATCAAACAAACCTTATCAATAATTGCAATTTATACTACTCGTTATTCCAATGTTCGGTGGAATTTTTTTGAGGCCGGCGCAGACGCTGTTATAACCAGCGGTAAAAAACAAGCACTTTTGAATATTTTTTATGAAGAGGTAATTTTAATGGCTGTAATAATTATTATCTTTTCTAATCGTTTTGTTTAACAAATTAATGGAATCTTTCTTTGTCATTATTGTAGTATAAAACCTCCGGTGCCGAAGAAGGAATCGTCAAATTTTACAACAAGGCTGAACCGTATTATGAATTCACAAATTTCTTTCAAGCTCCGGTTTTTATTGATAGTCAGGTGTGGCCTTCAACTGAGCACTATTGTAAGACACCAAATAAATATGTGATTACTGTTCTGTTTCCAACCTATTGATTATGCTTCTGCGTATTTAACCTCATTTACAATTGATAGTTCAAGCTTCGAAATTTGATAATCCGGAACTTCGCGAAAAAATTCGTAACCACAGTTATGCACGTGACGCTTTTAGGACTGCGCGCGAATATGACAGAATGAAACGTGGTAATTGGGAATTTCCTAAAGGGAATCCATACAAGGAACATATTATGAGAAAAGCCTTGATGTGTAAATTCACGCAGCATAAACAATTGAAGTATTTAATCCTTTCCACTGGAACGGCAAGAATTCACGAACATACTGCCAACGATTACTATTGGGGAGATGGGGGTCGAAATGGTAGAGGTTTGAATCGCTTGGGTGAGCTGCTGCAAGAACTCAGGACTCAATTAATGTTTGAAGAGTGTCGCCGGATGTCTTTAAATTATCGTTCATATGGGGCCAAGTGGGAGAGATGGATAATTCCTGAATTGAACGAGTTAAATTATTTGGAGGGCTTTCACGATGTTCAACATCGTATTATATAATACGCATCTTATTTGAGTACGAATTCTCTTCCGATGATTAAAAATAATAAGGGATAACTAGCATACAGAAAGAATTTATGCACTATAAAAAGGTATGCTCGCGTTAAGACAGCAGCAATTGTATGTACAGTACATATTAAATAATACTTACTGTAAGCCGGGATATTTTATAAAATTGTTATAATAAAAGCAATAAAATAATTTCGAATCATGTGTACGTAGGCAATTTGTACAGTACAGTACGTCGGATTTTTTGATTTTATTTCAGATTCCGCATGACATTCACTTGATATCACAACCATGGACTTCAGGTTACTATAATCTTTTCGGAACTAAAAAGTTTAATTAATGAAGTAATGTATAGACTGCGCAAAGTCATTTCACAGTAAAATAGTCACGTCGTTGACATATTAAATAAGTTCTACGCCATTTATGAAAATTGACTCTGTGCAAAGAGTTTACGTGATTGATCTGATAGCATCCTAATTACGTAACTGATATAAAGCTCAAATACCGTTTGCATTATTGAAAATGTCTTTCCGAGAATTTATCCTCAATTTTGTTACAGGTGTCTCTACTAATATGAGGTAAGAAGTCACTGTCCTGAACATCAAGAGATCTTGACCATGAAAACAGTAATTCTTTCTTTTCTTATTAAACTTGTGAAGAATCGAACAAGTTGCCACCTGCGCACGTTCCGATTGTAACAGGCCCGTGTACACGGAAGCGGATGGATACGCACATCCTTATTGTAGCAAGACTTGTGCTTCAATTTACAAGGCGAATGTCGGAAAATGTTCTAACTCTGAATGTCGTAAACTTAAATATGTGGAAGCCGACGGAAAAGTCTTCGACTATTGCGGACGAACTTGCGCTCAAATCCCAAGAAAATGTGCTCGAGACGGATGCAAAAATTCAAAATATATTCAACCCAAGAGAAAAAATTTTTATTTATTTTGTAGTCCTGCGTGTTATTGGAAAGGTTCCGACTCTTTGGTTTCCACGAAAATCACTCCACTCTCTACCAATAATTTGGATTACATCCGTATTCAACGAAGGTTCTCATCTGCATTGCCTCAGGTCACAATTTTAGGAATTCTACTCTTGCAGATGCCAAGTAACATTGTTAAGGCTCATAACGCCTTGAAAAGTAACATGGCCGCCTCGGGAAGTGCATTGTACAAAATGTATCATGGCACAAAGTCTACTTGCGATCCTGTAAATCTGATTTCCCGCAAAGAACCGACATGTAATGCAGGTTGTGGCGTCTGCGGGATCATTAGAGAAGGAAATAAAACTTCTTATTCTCGTAGTGGTGTTAACCAAATGTGGTTCGCGAAATCTCCCGCCACTTCTATTTCCTACACTTATGGATCCAATAAAGCAATTTTTTGTGTGGATATTATTTCTCCCACTCCTCCTACCGACTATATAATTGTTAATTCCAATGCGGTAAGGTCACCGATTTTAAAATGTATATACTGTACGTATTGATAATAATACACATTGATCCTTTTAAGCTTATAAACATTAAATTACTTTTAGTCTACATTGCCACGATTTTTGGTCATCTTTCGTTAAGAAACAAATATTTTATACAGTATCTCCGAATTCAATGTCGACAGCATATCCTTGTGGACGAGATATTTTTTTCGTGTTTAACTTTCTTTTACTAATTTCGATGTATTACAGATAGCTTATGAGAACAATAAGAATTATTATTATGCTGTGTATCTTTTTCTTTCATTATTCCTCGTGAATTCACTTTATATTTCACATGTCAGTTTTTTTATTCTTATTTGTTAATAAAATTGATTAAACCATACCATCAAACGAGTGTATGCAATGAATTATCGTTATGCCGTATCGTACACAGTATGTGTTCATGTAATGTGACCATGACACGCTTTAAAGGTTTTCAATGCACAGTACAGTACTTATTTTGGATACTCATCGACATGTAAATTTGTACAGAGAATGCCTAATTCTGGATTACAGTATATGTTAAGTTCGAAAAGTGAGATCACGCATTTAAAGATTCTGTGTCAAGAGCAAATAACAACAAGTACTTCAGTCAATATTTCGTCGATCTTTTTAATCATCCCTTCGTTAGATTTTATGATTCTTGAGATCACCGCGTTCCCTTCTTGCATGCTTTCGAGCAAAATTTTTCGGCGATTCTCAAATGAATTGTTTATGGAAAAGTCTTCACGTCCTTTATTTTTTATCTCCGATGGTTATATTGAAAACAGTTCTTGGCGTAAACAGAAAATGAACAGATACCGTATACGGTACAGTATCAGGGAAAGCAATGACCTACCAACATTAGCAACCTCATCGCACAACGTGCGATTATATCTTCGTACCTCGGATTCCTTATATCTCTTCATCTCACCGATTACACTGCCATCAAGAGAAACCCTTTTAAAAATATTTTTTAATGTGATAGGGAGAGGACGAGAGATGGGTTAATCGTTTTAACATATCGCCATTGTCATGAAATTTATTTGTTGAACCTTGAAGATGATTCCTTTGAACTCATTTCCGAGAGAGTGCTTCCAGATCGAGAATATAAAGGTTTGGATATCTCGGAGATGAATGATTTCTTTTCCGAACGAGAATCAATCCGGGAAATTCTAGCCAATGTTGTAGCGGGCAAAGAAGCGACAGCAGCGGTTTCCCGCTCTCTTTGTTTGCCTTTTTCCATGGTTGCACTCAGCGAAGAATTCGATCGATGACGGAATCTCGACCGCTCTGAAGAAAGATTAGACCGGTCATGAGAGGTGCACGATTCATTAAGGAACAATGGACGTGATGCTTCTGCTGATTTATACTCTTGAATTCGAAAAAGAAAACCTTGCATTATTACAAAATACACAAAATGGTCAATACAAACCTCACCTTTAATGGTTTCACTTTTTTCGACATCCGATAAAAGGCGATTCAAGGTCATCTGAAGTGTTTGTTTATTTGAATCTTTTAATACACACGAAGCTTGCAACTTCAACCTAATGGACTGATCTTCACGGACGTTCATTGTACTGTATTCTTTGAATTTCCTTGTTCAAGATGTAAATCGTTGCAAAGTTTAAAAATGATCTGTATTCCCCTTTGATCGTGGAATGTGACCATCGATCGCATTGATTACCTAGTCTGGGATTCATTCGATTATTCTAAAGATGTTATTAATCATAAGTGATATCATAGGAATTTTTGATGTGATGCAATGTGGACGAAGACCTCCACGTCATTCCAAATTACGTACTCGGCACATTAGACCAACTTGAGTTTTGATGAGCTCATTGTTTTTGATTTCATCCTAAAAAAACACTCGAATTTTTTTCTGGCCATCTTCGTAATTCAAAGATTGAACGTTTGGCAAATCCAAAGTTGGTGTTTTAATGAAACTGACATTGTCTTGACAGCAATTTGTAATTCAATAAGGACTTAACAACACGAATTATGCTGCATTGTATTGGACGGATTTGATAGTAAAGAGCTATGAGAATCCGTAAAAATCGCTTGATTCAGATCATAGAACTTGTTACGCGTACAAGTTTCACTTTTTCATAATAATAGTTGAGAAAACAACCATGTTATGTGCTGTTACATCCTGATCACAATAAAAGAAACCAATTTAGCAAATTTTTAAAAAATCCGTCTGTTTAAATCTTGATTCATAAAAGTCATAAAATTTTATTTAAAAATATTTGTCACCATTGCATTTTATTTTGTCATAATATTCTTGAGAAAAATTATTTGCAACATATTATTATGAAAGAATAAATTGTATACAAGAGGGTATATCAAAAATGAACTTATTTGCATTAAATTTAAAACCTTTTTTTGATTATCCTAAAGATTTTGTATATTCAGAAGTAAAAATAAAAATCTTTTAATCTTCATGTGTTGATAATAACCAATTTGTCAAGAACAAAAATAGATAGTAATAAAATTTTGCTAATATTTATCAAATTGATACAATAACATATGACCTGTCCTGTTTAAAACCATTACATTATTAGCAATGTTTTAAATAATGGATTTAATATTTAAAAATTATCATAATCAACTAAAAATTACTATACTGTTATGGTTTTATTGGATTATGTTTATTGCCTTTTCTAATATATCGATATATACAGTACAATATATGGATAATTATTTTTGAAACTGAATAAATTTAAGGTATAGATTTATTATTCTAATAATATAACCCTAAATTTGAACATATAAATTATATAATATTGATTAATCATGTGATTTTTTCTTTATAAGTTTAAAATTTTAAAAAAATTAACATATTGTCAATATCAATATATAATATTGTTAATAAATATTCATTTTGAATCTTATGTTAATGACTTTTATATAAAAAAGATTTATTGATATTGAATAATTAATTATTAAGATAATTATATTATAATATTATTATTTAATTTTCAGATTTTAAAAATTTATGAAATTCAAATTTCAAAATGATTAAAATATTGATATCTTCAAAATTTTAATAAAAATCAAATTTTAAAAAAAGTTCAAAAACTTTTATATTAAACTATATATAATATTTTTTTTAAAAAAAATATCATTTATTTCTTTCTTTTATTGACATATTATTTAATATTAGATTTTAAAACAAAAACATATTGTATTATATTGAAATAAAATTTTATTTAAAAAATAATAATAATTTTTTTTAAAAAATTTTTTAAATAATACAAAAAAAAAACTTATAATCTTTTAAAATTTGATTGCAAGAAAATAAAGTAAAAATTAAACTATTAATTTTTTCTTTTTCTTTTTCTTTAAAATATATTTTATATAACTTTTATTTTTTTAATAAGTATACTGTAAATATATTATTTAAAATAAAAATTACATATGCTATAAATTGATTATTATATAAAATATATTTAAATAAATTTTTACTTTGAATTTTAATGTTATTATTTTTTATTTTAAATATCTTATATACTGTTTATATATACAGTATACAGTATATTATATTTTATTTATATAATTTTTATATATTTTCCTAATTCCTAATTATCTAATACAATAGATAAAATCAAGGTAGTTATACATTGCAAGGAGGGATTGTAGTAAAAAACAGTAGTAATAATTACATAATGAAATAGAATACAGTATGAATGAATCATATCACTAGTATTATAAACATGTGCGATTAAGGAAAGAAACAAATATTTAACTTAAAAACCGTGCTTACTGTTTCGTAGAAAGACCTTAAGAAAGACAGATCAAGGGTTTCGGCTGAAAGGAAAGATAATACCAACGACACACAAGGATTCTGGGAAAAAT